AAGGCCTGGCGCGATATGATTCATGGGGTCACGAAGAGTCGGACACGACTTAACGACTGAACAACAACAACTGAGAATCTTCTGCCTTGTAGAAGCCTTGCACTTCCATTACCATTTTTTTTTCCCACAGAAATTCAGCAGTGTGATCACAATATATTTCAAGGGCTGCAAATGCAATGCTAGGCAGGGGGTGGGTGGGGTTGCCTGCAGTTCATGATGTGTTGATAAGTTGTGCACAGGTTCTGTATGTTGCACGTAGAGTTGTTAGGCACAAAGTTAAGCCACAATTCTATTTAACCTCACCCTCCTATATAATCCAAAATGGATAGTCCTTCGCCGCAGGATCATTAGGAGAGAGATTAGAACAATCCAAGGATGAGATCTACACTTTCATTTAATCAACTGAGTTTTATTTAGGATATTATTTATTAATGTTCCTTGTTGATAATTACATATAATCACTAATACAGCAAAGGAGGCTCTCCCTCAGAGTATGGTGGACCTCTTCAGAGATCAGAAGTTTTGCAGTCCTTTTTTGGCCTGTTTAACTCTGTCGGGGACTTGTCCATCTATTGCTTATATCATAAGCTTTATCTTACTTGCAAAAGCAAGTCTTTAACTTGTAGACAGCATGTGATTCTGTTATCTCCTTTGGCAGCCTAGAATCAATTCTGTTTTTAATTTTCCTTCTGTTCCTATTTCTCAATGTATTTCTTATAGTTCTTGTTTTAAAGTCTGATTTATTAAAGTCTAATTGTGGTATAATTTAAATTGACAATTTTATAATTGGTTTTAATCTTGGTATAAGGCAGATACTTCTCCTTAAATTCTTCCCAGCTTTAAGGATGCTGAGAGCACAAATATACTATATCTCCAAAATGTTCTCTTAATCTATAAAATAATCTGGTAATAGTGTGCAATATTGCAGTCTTTGATCATAGGTTTCCATAAAAGCTGTCTTGTAATTAATACCTTCCCCTGCTTTTATAATTTACTGTATGAAGTTTAGATCATTATAGGGGCTTAATTTATGCATCATGTTAAGCCAAAACCAAACAGACTGCATTATATCATAATATGTGTGAACTAGGTCAGTATGTTCATTAGATCATCTTTGAGCCAAAAAGGAAAATATTCAGTTTAAATGCTATAGCTCCCATGTTGTATCTCAGCCCGTAAACACATCATTAAAAAAAAAAACTTACCCTCTCATGCACATGGAGCATCTCCTATGAATTCTTGCTCTGCCTTGTCATCTTCTTCTAGTTTCCCTTGTGCTGAGTTTTAGATAAGTTTTTCAAGTTAAAAACCTGTTCTCTTATAACTGGTGAACAATCAGGGCTATGCATTTGTTGGAAGAAGTTCCAACAAGTTGGAAGAGGTGCTTCATACCTCAAATGAGCACAGTATTTCCTTAGTATTCATTAAAGCAGCCTGACCTTTTCAGGCTTCAGTGCAAGTGTGGGAAAAAATGCCTGATTTAAGGAGTTTACTTGTTAAAGTTAATGCAACTCTAAAACAACTGCAACTTTTTTTCAGGCTTGCACTGAAGCCTAAAAAAAACTTGGTGTACTTTAATGAATAGCAAAAAGATGCGAGGTCCAGAGCACTTCTGAAAAAATTTCAAGGAATGTACAGCCCTATCATATATACCAATATAATTCTTTATAAATTTTAAAAAATGTCTTGCTATTAATGTGATCCTTTAAAACAACTTATTTAACACTTAGTTTTTGAGACGTTTGGAACAACTTCATAATATTTGTGGTTTAAAACTATGGATTCTTAATTTTTTCCCCTTTTTTGTCCTGTTCTTCATATAGAGTGCTATAAAGGGAAAGCTACAGGAATTGGGAGCATATGTTGGTAAGTTTGATGGTAGCTTTACCTGTAAAAATAGAAAATATGCAAAACATTGGCATGCACTGTTTAGTTATTTGCATGATTTGTATCCTTTGCCTCTTCCATAAATGTGTTTTCTAGGGCAGCTACAAATAATTATGAAAATAGGAAATAAATAAAGCAAACCATATAAACTAGATTAGCAGCATTCTTTTCAAGCAAATGGGAACGTCAGACATAGAGCTACTAACATTAGCAGTTCTAAAAAGCATAGGAAAACAAAAAATAGAATGCATTCCAAAGTTTGAAGAGCTACCATTAAAAAGGCGTGGTGCTTGAAAAAGGCCTCAGATAATGATCTTTTTGGACAGATTGATGTGGAAAAAAGTGGTCCAACTGGTGTATGAAGATCAAGTTGTTCTTTATGCTCTCTGTACATCACATTCATACACTTATAATGAACATGGGAAAATAGTTTGATTAGCTATTAAGACTAAGACTAAGCATTGTAAATGCGATAAAACTATAGTTGTTGCCTTAACATTTAATATTTAGATTTATTCTCTATTCTTTAAATCAGATGAAGAACTGCCAGATTATATTATGGTCATGGTGGCCAATAAGAAGAGCCAGGAACAGATGACAGAGGATCTCTCTCTTTTTCTAGGAAACAACACTGTCAGATTTACTGTATGGTATGTTTATCTTCCATCTGTTTCCATGTACAGTACTGAGATATGTGCTTATTATAAGGTGTGCAAATAATACAGCATTACAGCACTGCAGAAAAATCATTCTTAAAAATGAAAAGCCTTGTGGAGAAGGGGTAGAATACATTTTTTCCTGGCTTTTTTCCCCTCTCTAGGTCTTTCTTTGCTATTGTTCTGTTGCAAAGGATTGGAAAATGGAAACATTGTTGGTTATGGAATGTTTTCTTCTAGAAACAAATAAAATCTTTAGGTTAAGAATTCTTACATTGAAATATTTTACTCTTCTCAACTTATCTTTGAAAACTGCACCAAAAATATTTTTTTCTGGACAGGGACATTATAATTTGCATGCTCAGGAGACAAATGATACTTGCAAAAACAAGATAAACTTCTCTCTTGGGGTCCCCATCATTTTCACTAGAGAAGAGACAGTTCTCTACCTTTTTGATAGTGGGCTCTCTTCATTTCTGTGAACTTGTTAAATATTTTCTAATTCCCACACTGGTCTGAAAAGAATGCAGTGGAATGGACAGCAATCTAGTTATTCTCATGGGTTAGAAACAAAAAATCTAACAAGGTAGGCAGAGCAAGTCTAATGATTTTGGAGTTTAAAGGATTTTTTCCTGCAAGTCTCTTTTAAGATGCACAGAGCAACACAAGATTATTGAAATAAAGTATCAATTATGTTTAAAAAGCCCTTTCACAGTGCCTTCAGAAACTTTATTTAAAACAATGAGTATTTATGTTTTGGGGAGCTGGGAACCATATTTCACCTTTGAGTGGTACACTTGGAGCCATACTCCAGAAAGTAGGCAGGATTAGGAGGGGGGAAAAAAGGGTCAGAACAGAGTTAGATTTGATTTCATTTAAACTTAAAATGTAATGAAATGTAATTGCAAATAATATGATTACTCCACTTATGTTGACTAGTCCCCTTTTCCCAATAAAAAACACAGTTTGTTGACAGTTCTGTGGCTGCATCCAGGGCCTTCAGTAGGTGCACGTAGCTCTGGGGTCTTGAGTTGTGTTGTTGTAATTTAAAACTTATTAAAATACTTTCTTATTTTTTCAGGCTTCATGGTGTCCTAGATAAGCTTCGATCTGTAACTACAGGTAAGTAAAGGCTACATGACATCTTTGAAATAACTCTTGAGAAAAGAATCTGTGTGCACATGTTTTCATATACATTTTGCCATTCTTTAAAAAGTATTTATCTAGATGAGGTTATAATGGTCTAGGCAAGGAGAGCTATAAAAAGTGTTATATGAAGTTGAAAAATTGTGTCTTGGACAATATCAATAAGAGGAGATATGTTTTTATTGGATCCACAGTGGAAGACAAGTTGCAGTTCTGTATAAGTACCATCCTTAATTTTGAAGTGAAACCAATTATACTTCTTTTCCCAGAGCCTGCAAACCTAAAATCTTCTGAATCCAACATTTTTGAGAGCAGTCTGTCTTCTGGCAAAAGCACATCAGCTGGGAATGAGGAAAGGACTGGAGAAGAAATCCTACAGCCTCTTACAGTCTCAAGTTCTCGACCTGAAAGGACTGACTTCCGAGTTTCTACTAGTTCTCAGGAACAGAGAGCTGCTGCTCTTCGGTAAGACTTAGTTAGTCACTAACTAACAACTCACTTAGTTGTAAGGAACTGTAATATATTGCAGTTGAACTGTACATCAGGACATTTCTGGTTGAGATCTCAGCTACATCATAAAATCATCGAGTGCTTTTAAGAACAGCTAATGTTACTTAGATTCCCTCATGTATAATGTCCCATATAACTAAAGCTTTGTGTTCATGTTCTGCCTTCTTCCCTTATGTATTTTTCCCTCTGTTCTTATTTAATGACAAACACTATTTTCTGTTGCAACCAGTCTAGGAAACAGTGATTCATGCATACAGTAACTTGTATGTGCTTCAGGATTGCAAACCTACTTTGAAATTAAAATTACAATCTTGAAAGCAGAAGGATGGCTTTCTCTGAAATTGGAGATAAGGAGGGAATAAAAAAACTTGAGGTGTGAGAGAGAAAACATTATGGGACATAGCAGCACACAAACAGTCCATAAATCATGGTTATTCAGCTTAAAATGAGGCACACATCTGCATTATGGGGATGTTGGTCTGTGATAAAGTGTTGATGGAATGATTACTCAAATAATATGAGGCACTGCAACTCAATGTACACTTGCCTTTAAAGCTGGATTAGGGACAGTTGGCACATTTGACAGTTTGAGAATTCAAAAAGCTTGAGTGACAGTTTGGACACTCATAAAGAAAGGCAGGGAGAATCATGGGAGCAGGGGGTTGCCCATTCAGATCAGTGAAATTACTCCTGAGCATCTTCTCTGCTTTCCCAGGTGGTTCATTATTATTCCACAGGTTACCTATGTCTATCTTTCTGGCTAAATGACCATGTTTATGAACAAAGCACTGGGTTGAAGCCACTCATTTTTATTTTTTAAGAAAGCCAATTAAAGCCATTAACGTTTGAATTTGAATACACACACACACACACACACACACACTTACATACATGCATACACACTTCCCACCTTCGATAATTACCTGGATGAGGGTGTTAAATTCACTGAAAAGAATAGAAGATACAGGGTAAAGGGGTAAAAGTGCAGATGGATAAATAAATGACTTTGAAGATAAATCTGAAGATTACCTGTTACTTGACAGGAGTGTTAGCCTGTTAAATTTAACCCTTTCTGTAATGGCTAATGAGGGCTTCTCTCTTATTTTTATTAAGAAATCTCTTTTATTATTTTTATTTTATTTTCTTCCCTGTCCAGAGACCTGTGCCCCTCACCTTACCTTCATCAAGCTTTGTTCTTCCCTTTCTTTGTTTTCCCAGTGCAGCTATTAGTTATTAAATGATTTGCTTTATAGGGAATTAATATTAATTAGTTATTAACTTAATTAATATGATTTTTTTTGCCCTCACTCTGTTCTGTTCTTTATAGGTTTGTGCTTTCTGATAGATATATATACACAAATGTACATATTGGCATATGCATATATTAATACATCACCTAAACACCTTCATTTGGGAATTGATTTCAGCTGAAAACCTTAATGTAACAAAGAAAAGCACAGGTAGTCCTTGTTTAGTGACTGCCTCAGACAGCGATTGTTTGCAGTTATGACCATGATGAAAAAGTAACTCTGTAATCAATGCCTGCATTTACAACTTTTGCAGCATCTCTCTCTCTCAGTCATGTGTTCGCCATTTCAGTCAGTACGCGTTGTCCTGTGTAAAATCATAAGCACAGTCGCAGTCACATGATTTTTAACTTAGTGACTGCTGCACTTAATGACCAAGTTGCCAGTCCCAATTGTGGTCACTAAAAATTATTCCTTGTATTTATTTATTTCTGTCTACTCTTCCTTTTGAGTAGAGTGAAATTGCCTTAAACTCAGGATCATCTGCCTTTCACATTGGTACAGTACTTCATGTAAAGCCAGGAAATCTAATCAGTGTTATACAGACTTCTTAGGTTAAGCACAGTGGGTTATCTTGAAGGCCCTAAAAATCTGGTGGGATTTGAGCTTAATGACTATATGGAAATTTCTTTAAATTTCTTTTACCAAGTTATCAAAAATTGACTACAAAAATAATCCATAGGTAGCAGTCTATTCTGCAAAAATTATACTATGTAGTAGAATTTCTAAATTATGTTGGTGTGATTATAAGGAATTGGTATCTATTGCCTAAACTTCAGTGGCTATGCTTAATCAGACTACCCTTTCTAATAGAAAATTTTGGAAGAAATTGGGAAAATCACTCAGTAATCTTTCACAATGAATTCTGTTACTGATGTATTATCCATATGTTCTAAGGCACATAAGTTGATGCAACATAAAATATTGATTCTGCAAATATCATAAAGTACTGGAAGACTAATAAGTATCTTTCACTGGATGTGACAAATCTGTCTGAAAAATTAATGAAATGTTTTGAAAATCCTACAGTGAAGATTAAATATGCTTAACCCTGTTCAGCATTTATTAGGTATGCTAAGAATGGTTCTCCTCAAAGATTGTCTTCATCTGTACAAAAGTTGTTATGGATAAAAGTATTGAACAGGATAATTGTCTTTTTTGTATTTCTTCTTAAAGTTACATGTGGTTCTCCTCAAAGATTGTCTTCATCTGTACAAAAGTTGTTATGGATAAAAGTATTGAACAGGATAATTGTCTTTTTTGTATTTCTTCTTAAAGTTACATGTGGTTCTCCTCAAAGATTGTCTTCATCTGTACAAAAGTTGTTATGGATAAAAGTATTGAACAGGATAATTGTCTTTTTTGTATTTCTTCTTAAAGTTACATGCATATTCATGTTCATATGTATGTATCTCTCAAGTATGAACTTTGTTTTTTGTTTGCCTTGTTTTCCCCCTCACTTACCCACCCTAGCTTATTTTTCTTTTAAACTATGCTTAAAAATTAGTTTAAAGAGTTAAACTAATTTTTTTAATTTAAAAAAGAATTTAGTTTAAATTTTAGTCTAACTAAATTGTTTAGGTTTTTTTAATTTTTTTTTTTCAATTAAAAGAGAAATAAGAATATATTTGGCCTGGCGGGTTCCAGGAAAGCATCAGAAAGCACTGTGTTAGTAATTATACCCTTAGAATAAATTAAGCTCAATAAGACCTGCTTCTGCATAAGAGTGTGTTGCAAATAACATAGTTGTGAAAGCAGTTGGAAATAATTAAAAAATGGAGAATTCCTCTAATGCCAAGTCAAGTAAATGCCATTAGCAGAGTAGATTGTTGCCCTTTTATTCCATTTCAATAGTTAAAGTGAAGAACAGAGTTTATAAATTATATTTGTGCATATTTTATTATTGGTTTTCTTATTTTCTTTATAGCAAAGATGTCTTTTAAAAGATGTAAGACAAAGTTAATATCTCTTCTTCTCCGCAGGCAGCCTAGTCATGATGGTTCACCATCCCTGTTAATGTCAACTGTAAAGCCTTTACGGGAGCTTTCCCCTTTGGAAGCTGTGATTGACATTAAGCCTGAGCCAGATGATCTCATTGATGAAGATCTGAATTTTATACAGGAGAATCGGTTATCCCGGAAGAAGCCTCTTGTTACAGTGACATATGGCTCTTCCCGCCCAACGGCTGAAATCTACCGTCCACCTGCTAGTCGAAGTACCGAAGGCAATGTTCACTTGCAGAGGTTGCCACAGTCAAGCAACCTCCAGGCTGGCAAGCAGCTTAATATACAGGGTGATAGGTCACAGGAAACCATCCAGCTCTGTGATCCAGATGCATTTGACAGCTTGGCCGAGAGTTACCAGCCCCCTTCAAAAGGGAACGCTGATAAAATTAGCAGTGAGGTAAGTATGTGAGTCCAAGCTATGCCAGTATTTAACATGTTCTCAACAAACAGAGATCTCCATGGATACCTGAGGTCTCCTGTTCTAAACATAGCGATGTTGGTCAAAAATATATCATGACTGGCATGTAAACTTTGTGGCATCCAGGCTCTAGTTGCTTTATGGATTAGAGGTGAAAAGTGTTTGTGGGTATGTGTTCTTAGTTTAAAAGAGGGCAAGTAGAAGTTGTAATTTAATTCTTCTGCCGATTGGCATAGTTGGGAGCAATGCTTGTAAAACTCCAGCATGACAAGCTGTGCTCATTAACTAATACTAAATCAAATGGTTTCAAACATTCTGCCATTAGGAAACACTTTCCATGGTAATACTCTTTAGCGTTGTACAAGATTATGGAGTATAACAGTCATGGGTGGGCAATTCTTAGAGAGCTAGTGTGGTATATAATGGGAGTTTTAGACTCTTGTTTGAGAGATCTAAGTTTAGTTCTTTATTCCCTTTACTAGTTTTGTGCACTGCTACATTCCACTGCTGCTCTCAGTAGTTCAGTTGTCCACATAGCCAAGAAGCCTTATGAGTCACTATTTCTCAGCCTACCTCACAGGGTTGTTGTGAGGATAAGATGGAACCATGCATATCATATTGATGCTTTAGATGGGAGGTCTAATACATGTCAAAAAAAAAAACATGGCTGCCACTGTCCTATTTGAATGGAAAATGTGCTGCTGAACACTCCCAGCTAGGTATGTGAAAAATATTCCATGGAACTCAGGAACATTCCATTCTTTCTCCTAGCCACGTTGATCTGGCAGTTCCAGAAGTATCCCAGAAGTTTTCCAAACAGATCTGATCATGAAACAGATAACTTGGGAGAGAGAGAAGAAAGGAGGATGCTAGCTTAACCTCAGATAGCAAGGGTTCCAAAGCCTGGGGATGCCCCCCAATAGGCCTTTTCTTGTGATTTTAGAAGATGTGCAGTAGTAGTGGTAAGACTGAGAAAAGAGTTCCTCCTGATGATTTTAATGTCCAAGTAGGCTAATAACAAATGTTTTATCATAGCCACAGAAACAGGTTAAAAGCCAGTGAAATTGTAACTTAACTCCTGTGACCAGCCACACCATTCTGGGCTAGCTGAAGTGTCAAAATGCTTGTATCTATAAGAGGTACAAATTGGGATATAACTAAAGCATGCATCACCATCTCCAGCAACAGGTGTAGTTGGCACTCTAGTGTTAATTTTGGAAATGGCAGTCTTACACATTTCATTGGCTATTGATCTATTCCAGGTTCAGTTCAAGGCCTTAGCCTTTAAATCCCTAAAGAGCATGGGCCTGACCTTTCTTAGATGCTATTTCTCTACATATAAACTGAATCAGTTGGCAATCTTAATTTCGTTTCTAAGGCAATTCCATCCATAGAGGTGCAATTGCCAGATTGTGAAATTAAATACAAGGAAGGTGGATCAGCTTTGGGTTTGAAGTTTCCAAGTCAGTTTGCTTCATTTCATGGGTATTTTTAGTTAGGGTCTTCAAGATGATACCTGTGTTTGCTACTGTCTACTGTGTATTTTGTGGTTCCTGATTGTTGCCATTTACAGTCTGTACTTTACCTTATTTTTCTGTCATATATTTTCATCTTTGTACATCAGTTTGAAAGACTGAGAAACAAATCTGAAAATTAATAAAAATATTCATCTCTTGTCCCCCTTGCCTCTCCCTTTCTAATGTTTCTTCCTCTGTCAAGTTTAGACTGTAAGCCTTTTGGACTTTTTATAAAAGTCATCCTGTACATAGTGTCATATTCTCAAATGGTTCCCATTCAGGTAGTCCATGATGGGACTGCAAGTGGTCCCTAGTACAAGTCCCCTCCCCACAAAATTTAAGTAACAAAATCACATAAGAGTGAAAAAAATTATTTTTCTCACTTAAAATCCTGTGGGGTTTTGCCATTCTTGAAATCTCATAAGATTTCAATCAGTTTTAAAGTAAAGTTTTAATGTGGGGGTCCTTCAGGGGCTGTATGAAGCAGAGTCATGTGTCCCATGGTATCCCCAAACACTGCATTGGTAACACCTGTCTTATGTGGAGATCGTCAAAAAGTTTGATGCCAATGTAGTCTCCACATAAAGGAAAGGAAGTTGGGAACTGCTGATTTATTCTGGACAGAACTGCTTGTGAGTTTACTATGTGATCTGCCAGATTGTTGTCAGTTTCCCTTGTTATAGATGGGGTAATATGTTTTTTAAGAATCAAATTTTATTGTTGTAGGAATGGAATTCTAGCACAAAATTCAAAGAGCAGCACTTTGTTCATTTAAGATATGGTTCCTGTATTTTTCAAAACAAATTCCCTTAACAGCTATTTACCAGAGCAAGTTAACCTCATGTTCTTTTGGTCTGTCAGGATGATAATTATTGCTGCCTTTCCTCCATTAAGTATATACTGTTACTAATGACTTCTGTACCTGCCTGATGTATGACTATATGTCATCATGTTCTCAAGTTTTTCAGGAGGCATTGACAATGGACAAATAATTATTTGGGACATCAGTAGAGCTTTTTAAGATAACTGAACATAACATATTTCACACTGAATAGAGAGGCTGATTCTGAATTTGAGGATTCTACGATTTATCTTTCTTTAGAAAAGAACACTTCTAGCCTTTTGGTTTGTTAATATATAGACGTAAATATTTGAAATATGCTGGAGGGAAGACTTTCGGTATACCATGTGGGATTCTGGCCTAAAAGCTTGTTAGGTAGGCTGCATTTTGTAATTCATTCACAAAAGCACACATATGATCTTTTGCTAGCTGTTGCCTTTCCTAATCTTTATCTTTTCTTCCCCCACGGTAACTTGTACAGACAGATAAACAATCATTCACAAATATTTCTGGGAATCTTGGAACCCTAGATAAAACTCAAATCTAGTCAATATTACCTTCTTGCCATTGCAGCTATTTTGAGTCTCTGCATTTTTTAAGATTTGATGTGAATTATTTTGATAATGGAATTTATTCTTTTTTTAAAAAAAAACTTGTGATTTGTGTCTCTATCTGCACGTACATATGTTGCATCCTCCCCAGCACTGAGTATATGTATACAGTTCTTGATTTTAAGGGATACTGAGCATGATTAGTTTGAATGAGGAAGGCGGGTTCAAATCCTGTTCTACAAAATATAGTGAGCAACTTTGGTCATTACCTCTCTCCCCAGCATACTGCACTACCCTACCATGGAGATCAAATGGAGAAATATGCTTATATTGATTCCTTAAAGGAAAGAGGAGATATAAATGTGTTGAATTTTGAAAGTCCAGCAATATAATGTTGTATGTTAGAAATGTCTTATTACAGTGAAATGTAGTTATTACCTTAAAATCTGGAAAGATAAAACAGCAGAAATGAAAGTAATGGAAGATGAGAATCTGTCTTCTTGCCAAGCATTTGGCACTGCTTTAAATATAAGCTCTGTTAAATAAAAGTATAGGGTAGAGAATTGAACTAATTGATCTACTGGGAATCATCCAGCTCTGTGATTCTAACCCTTTGAAACAAAATTGTTGCCCTCCAGGTGCATCAGACTAAAATATCCGTAATTGCTGATCATGTGCCCAGTATATAGTTGGAGAAGGCTACATTATAATAAAGCTGGCTTTAAATCAAAAATATTTTATGGAAAAATAGTACTAGAATATTGAGCAGTGTTTCCGTAAATCTCTGTACTGTTTCTTGATTGTGACATTTTGTATGGAAACAACATTTGGAGGGCATGGGGGTATAAAATAAATATACAGAATATACAGAAAAAAATACTGTCTGTATTCTAAATGTGAGCTTTGATATTCTCCTGAACAAGAAGTTTACATTTTATATGCTGCCTGGGGATGGAATGCATGACAGGTGGGGTAGAAATATTTAATTATATAAACAAAATCAATAAACAGATTTCATCTCCCCCCAAGTGTAATTAATTTATCATTATTTTCACTCTACTGTTACTCTATTGTTTATAATGCAAAACAAAGCTAGAAAACTAACTTTTTTTCCCTTCAAAAATTAAATGTAGGTTTGGTCACAGCTTTACTCTGTCCAGATTTGATTATATTGTTATTTTATAATATGATTAGGGAACTTGGTTCCTTGACGTCTGCCTGCTCCTCCTTCTCCACATGTTCATAATTTAAAGTCCTGTCCTGAATTTTGTGGTTTGATCAGGGCCAACAACAGTCTTCTTGATGATGATTACCACTGTTTCTTTCAAGAGTGCAAAAAGTAAGCTAGGGCCACATATAGCTCATTAGTATCCCTGTCCTTAGCCCCAGAAAATGCCCACAATGAAGTGGGTGGGGTGAAAAATTGGGCCCTTTTTTGCATTATGGAGTTCCCAAGGGGCAAAAAATATCTTCAGGCTTGCAGATGTTTAAGGCACCCATTTCATTCCTTAAAATTTCTGAAATCCTCTCCCAAAGTTAGCCATGGCTCCACCAACTTATGGAGAGCAGCTCCCAACATGCTGAACACAGCCTTGTGAGGGAGCCAACAAAAATTACACATCCCCTGTACTGCGATTTGACAAACTTCAATGCTATCTCATTTTTAACTTTGAGATATTTATTTTTTATTTTATTTATTAAATGTGTATGGCGCCCATCTCCCCCAACGAGGGAGAAAATGTTGCTGCTTTAAAAAGTCTCCAAAAAGCTTTAACAGTGTGAATGTAAAGCTTCTATTGCTTATACCATCATTTTTTTTAAAAAAAAATGGATTGAATTTTTGAATTTTTCTTCATTTTACAACATTGGCATCTTGGAATGGTTGCTTAAATATATTAGTTGGTTTTATTGCATTTTTTATGGTTTTTAGCCATTTTGTGCTGTGTGTATTTATAGTAAACACACACACACACAAAAACATACTTAAATAGACAATGTTCTCTACTTTGTATCTTCCCTGAAACCTGATCTAGGAAAATAGGGTGTCTGGAGCAAATGGCAAAGTATTTGATTAGCTGAGTTACATCTATTTAAGCTAGGCTAACTTTTTATCTGGCCTTCTAAATTGCTTTATACATACATACATACATACATACATACATACATACACTCTGTGTGTGTGTGTGTGTGTGTGTGTGTGTACTTTTTAAAGTCAATTCATATATAGCATCATGTAGTTTTAACAAAGTATTCAAGAGGTGAGTTTAGACTTCTTATTTTCAATGGTGCATAAGGTCACTCTCAGTATACATAATTGTATGGTGTTGTTTTATTTTGTCTTGCTGTATGATCCCTTAGTAGTTTGCAGAAAGGAGGTACAAAAACAAAGAAAAAATGTTTGGCTCTTGAAAATCAGCAGGAGTTCTTTTACATAAATCTTCAAATTAAAATAGACGTAGGAGTTACCCTGGCCTGGAAATACTTTGACTGAAAGGCGGATCAGATTTATCAAATAAAATATTATCCTATTACCTGCAGGAAGAAACTTTGAGGAAGAGAAAACTCCCAGTTGTAAGCTCAGTAGTCAAAGTGAAACGGTTCAGTAATGATGGAGAGGAGGAGGAGGAGGAAGATGACTATGGTCTGCGACTGGGAGGCATCTCCAGCAGTGTCTCTGTGCCTGCAAAACCTGAAAGAAGGTAGTAATCTTTAAAAAAAAAAAAGAAAATCAAACCTGTTTTCTAATTATGCTACTGTTTATAAAAGGCCAAAGAAAGTTCCTGGAATTGAACTGTAACTAAAACGATAGTTTGAAGATAAATTAGGAACAAAAATCAAACAATGGGGAATAAGACTAAAATAGGTTAAATTGTTCATAATGCAGAAAAAGTGAATAGGAAAGATGTTTTCTGTCTCTCATTAAACCTGGGATAGATAAATAAAGCTGATAGTCAGGATAAACAAAAGAACTAATTTTTCACATATCACAAAGCTAAATCTACTATTGGAAGATGAAACTGTAGCTGTCAGCATGGAGTATTTTAAAACAGGATTAAAGAAATAAGTGGAGGATAAGGCTGTCAGTGGATATAAACGGGTAGTTCTGTGCTAAAGTTTAACATGTCTCTGAAAACCATTTGCTGAGAAATGAGTGGCGGTGTTCTGTTCCCCTTCTGTTCGTGCTTTTCGTTAGACAGAATTCTTGTCTGGGTAGGCCTCTGGTATGATCCAGAAGGGTACATTTAGATTCATATGTTCTGGTGCTTCAGCAGAAAGCAAGTGTCTGTCCGCACTGGGTTTTGCTGATAACGGTTTTGAGGCCTAGCTTATAAAGTTGCTGCGAAATGCAGCATACTTTGCAAGGCCGTGAGATATGCACAGATGAATAGAAGTATATCCATGAGGAGAAGAAAAAAGGGCCACCATTTGGCTTATTGTTGGGTGACCACTAATGTATCTCCGTGGATTTCGATCCATTTTTGACAATAAAATATGGGAATATTTGAATATGTAATACAAATGGAAGTATTCATTTAACATCCTTTTATCTGTTTTATTTCAATCCTCTAGGCCTTCACTGCCACCTTCCAAACAAGCTAATAAGAATTTAATATTGAAAGCTATATCTGAAGCTCAGGAATCGGTTACAAAGACAACTAATTATGCTACAGGTAGATTAATTTGGCATAGATACATGATCTTTGAGCCCCATTCATATCTCAAGTTAATTTTTGTTGGTGGTGTGGGAAGCAAAGCATAACTTAAGAATTTATCATAGAATTCAATGCTATTCCCTTCTGGTGTGAACCATCATGATAGTTTTCTATCCAGCACAGGTATTATTCATTTACTAGTATTTGGGTACCTGAACTGTTACAGTATCAGTTACTGCTGTTGTGAATTATCTCTGTGCGCATTCAAGTGTGAATGTAGAATGACACTTTGCACATTTCATGAAAGGATAACTTAGGGCATAATGAGTTGGTTTAGGTTTAGAGTGCCCCATGCTTTTTGCTGCAACATGTTAACGTGCCCATCCCTTTTGAATTCTTTTTAGCCCAGAGCTGTAATAGCCCATTTACAAGCAAAAATTTGCCAATAACTTGGCACAAAACAAATGGGAGCAAAGCCCTGCTTGTTACATGGAAACAATGGTTCTGGTTTGCTTTTAAAATAGGTTAATAGAACATAAAAAATTCAGAAATGTAATTAAGCTAAAGCTTATGAAACATATATTGCTTATAACTACATTTCCCAAATTCTTTGGTCATAAAAATTAAATCATTATAAATTTGATTTAAGTTCCTAGTGCTGATGTATTCTCAAATCTTCAAAATATGATATAATTTATATATTGGATGTATATCCTTCCTCTTTTGGCTAAAGATTCTTAAAAGTTACTTGCAGTTTAAAGAACTACATTGCGGTAGTAAAGATAATTAAGGCTGTCCAGAGGAAAGGCCTCTGAGGGATATAAGTGGTTCATCCTTGGTTTGGAAAGAATGGAGCTTAAAGAAGTCATAGTTGTAATTGCCCATTGTGAACAACACAGCTATATCTTTCTCCAGGCAACAGGTTCACTACTGTCTGCTGGCAGCTTATGACAAGGATGACTGAGTTTCCCATGCAGTGGCCATGTTTTTAGTTCTGCAGACAGGCTGGGAGGTTTTTCCTTCTTTCCACTTCCTGTATTTTTTATTTCTTTTCTTGCCCACCTCCTTTCTACCTTTTTTCGCCACCTGTGTGCCTGCCGGGGTGGGGTGGGAGTGAATACTGAGGAGTCAGTAAGGGGCCTCTCTCAGTCTTGGAAGTGAAGAGATTTAACTGACCCTTGGTAAGAAGTTCACAAAAGCAGACTATGTCTGTTTGGAACTAATCTAACTTCTCTAGGTTAGTAAAGGAGTTTGTATAACTTGTATGGGTTATCCCCTCTAACTGTGAACTAGTAAGCATGCTGTGTGAGCAGGGCCATCTCCTAGTAATCCCTGCCTGCTTGGCCAATAATGAGGGATGCCAGGAGTTGGAACTGAGAAATATCTGAATGATTCCACAGCCCTCCCTATTATATATGAACATTGGATTGCTCAATAAGCTATTGTTCCACCAATCTTTTTTAGTGAAAATCTAAAACACATTGAAAATAAAGCTTTCCTAGTTAGGAACCTGTATTGTTTGGGTTAAATTTAGCAGAGTTTTTAAGAGACCACAATTTTGGGATAAAAAATCTGTCATTGTTTGCTCTTTATATAACACACTGGATGCTTTGTTTTGGTTTATGGAAAGTCCCACCAAAGCAGACAGTTCCTGTGGCTCCCAGAACTCGGACCTCCCATGAAGAAGCCCTCCTTGAAGTGATTCATGGCCAGAATCAGCCGACCAGAGTAAACTCTCAGATACAGGAAGAAGAACCAAGAGAACAGACATTAGGGAGAGTTCCAGGTAGTGTTGAATATGCTGCCATATTCTCAAGTAATTCCTGAAAGCTCAATTATACCTGATTAATTTAGTGAGATATTGTAGTGAAGCCTTTTCTGATGTAATCTTTGAAGGAAGACTTTTCAGCCTTTCTCTCGCACCCAGAATAGTTCATGCATACTCAGATAAGCACAGAAACACAGAGGTGGTGCCAGGCGGATTTTATATAGATTATATATTTAGAGAAGCTTCTTTGGGTCTCAAAAATACATGTGATCTAGCATGTTGCTTCTCATTGTAGGGCATCACTGTTCTGAGAAAGTTCATCAACGTGGTTTTAAGACAATGCCTTCCCCTTCTCCTGATAAAATTTCTGAGCATGGAATTGGGATGGGGAGGAATTTAGTTTGTACCATATTTTGAAGGAAACCAACCTGATTCATAGGAATTGGGACACAATTATCCATTTTTTTATTTCTCCAGTTTCTGAGATACAATTCTTGTTTTGAAAAATGAATACGAAATATGTATATTAGGGAATGATGCATGTGAAAATAAATGATTTTTTTACCAGATTTATTTAAAATTACAGCTTAATACATAAGGTGGATAGAACTATGTAAAACTAATGTGGTCCAGAAATATGTATTTGAACTTCAGAAAAACTCTGAATTTGAATGATTAGCCTCCTTCCTGAATTTGTCTAATCCCTTTTTAAAACTTAAAAATTCAGTCTAAGCTCCTCAATTTTATGAGATGCAGTTAGGAGAATAAAGAGTAAGAGGAGAGAAAGAGGTAAGGTGCAAACCCAGTGGCTATATTCAGCTTCCTACTAAATAGAATCTGGGAGAGCTTTGCATCCAAATAGATGCAGAAAATGTTGAGTTAATGGTAAGAATAAGTTAACACTGATTGCAGTAGAATGCCATACCTTACAGAAACAAGCACTTGCAAAAAATGAGGAAAGTTACTACAAAGTGGTTCCCTAATTTGAAGACAAAGGAAACATCATTTTCATTCTTAATTTATTTTAGGAACCCAACAGAGGCAACTCTTTTCCCGTCTCCAGATTGAGCCAGGCATTGAGGAGATGTTACAAAAAACTCAAGGTTAATTGTGGCTGTTTTTTTTTAAGCATTATCTTATATATATTATCTTATATCTAGTGTATTGTTATTACTGGGCTTTGTTGTGTTGTAGCACTTGTATGCTTATTATTTCTTTAGGGCTCCTGTGCTAAGAAGCTGCCAATTAAACTGTAAACCATGGCTGTTCCTCTAGTCTTTAAAATTTTGCTGGTTCAAATCCATGCATGTTCAAATGCAGTGTCACCTCAGAATCATTGTTTATATAGCTTTGTCTGTTCAGCAGAGAGAAGTTTGTCACTTTTTTGATGATCAGTAGTTATGACTTATTTTAATTGAGTAGCTTCATGCTTAATCTCCATTTACAGTATGTTGTTGATTTAAAGGGTCTATAATACATCTGCCATTTTCTCTGGTTTAGATTATTATGACTTAGAATCAGTGGTCCACACAGATACAAGATCATTTATCTTGAAGAAGCCCAAGCTATCTGAGGAGGTCACCACACCCAGAAACTTGGATGTGGGGAACAATGCTACGGATGCCTTGCAGGCACTTTCAGGACGGCTCATTCAAACACGGTAAAAAATCACTCCTTTCAGTTCAGTAAACAGTTAAACTTGGAAATTGACCATGTTCATGCAGTATGTCTAAATAGTGAACTATTTTTTTGCTGAGCAAAGGAGTGCAAATTGGGTGTCTTAGCTGTAAAGGTAATACACTTTATATAGAGACAAGGCAACTTGTGGTAGACTTGTTTCAGATATTTTCTTAAGCCCCAGATTAGTTTATCCCAGTAATTCCAAAACTATAGTGTGTTACACAAAATGAATTGAGTGAACATTAGACTCTTTTGACTCCCCAGGATCCATCTACAGAAGTACTAAGGACTGGTGGTTGTGCCGTGTGCTGTGGATGCAATCAGATATTTTCAGTCGTTCCTAACGCTGAAGGTCAAAAGGATTTTCTGCCCTCAGAGATAGGTGGTCGGATGGATGGCTAGCCAAATATTTCTACTAGTCATAACTTTTCCAGTCCAGAAGCATGCCCAGAACAGAGAATTCTGAGGAGTGGATAGGCTTCCTTCTTTACATAAACTAAGGGTGTGAGACTCAAATGTCATTTCCACTGTAAGAGTGTGACAGCTGTTGTATATTTTCAGGGAAAGTGGTTTGGCCTCTGAAGTCTTTTAGGTCTTAAAAAAGTATTTTATAAATAACTATGCTGTGTTGATTGTCATGAATTATGTTTGATTGATTGATTGATTGATTGATTGATTGATTATATGCCATCAAGTTGTTTTCAACTTGAATTGTTGGTATCAGTTACCATTCCTTTCTTCTTCTTGTTTTAGTAGCTTAAATAATTCTTGGTTTATCCTTTTGTTATAGAGAGCAGCTTATGCTGTCAGAGAAGCCTGCTAGTCCCAAGTTCATAGTCACTTTGGATGGAGTCCCCAGCCCTCCAGGGTACTTATCTGATCAAGAGGAGGAGGAATTGAGTCTTATGGAGGGAGTTAGGCCTATTCCATCCAAACCAACAGCCAGCAAGGGATTAAGAAGCCTTCGCACACAACAGATGCACATTATATCCAGACAACTGGACAGCACAGATGGTAACACTCTCATCCTCATTGATAAGGTCTTTATGTTAACTTGATTGCAAAATATCTTTGGCAATTGAAAACTAAACTAGAAGCAGGAATGCAAAGACTAACCTGTAAGCCGAATTTCCTAGGATATATTATTTTTTTAAAAAACTTTCTGAGTTGAGAAGAGCATAGATTTGACACATCTATCCTGCCTGGATGTAGTTAAGAAACAGCACTGTGGCACATGGAAACAGCATATCTAGCTTTAAGGGGAGATTTTATTAATATATATAGTATTCAGAAGGAGTTATGGCAGGAGGGGGGATGACCTGCCCTTGGGGAAGGGGATTGAAAACCTAAGGCAAGTCCCTGCTTCTGTACTCCTATTCTCATCTTAGGAATTAAGTAGCAGAGCCTTGTTACTGCCTGAGCTCTGGCTGTTTTTGAATGCCACATCTGCTTGTAATAAATCTCTCCTCATCCTCAACCTTATTGTGGATGAGAGCAAACCTGTCAAGAGGCTGGTATTCTCATCTCAGAGATTTGACCAGGTTTCAGGGGTTGCATCAGCCACAAATCCATGGTAGTGGAGGAGGAATGGATTGTCATCAGGATTACTCTGCAGATGACAGATACATTGTCCTGCAGATAACTGGATGTGAGATGCTATTAGTGAGGTTGGGCCTTAGAGACAAGCAAGGATTGTTGCTGCTTACGCTCCCTGATGTGCACCTTCTATCCTACCCAAGCTGCTTAACCTCATCATCAGGTTGATACTGGAACCGCCTAGACCTCTGGCCTTGGGGGATTTCAAGTTTAGTTCACTGGGATGCAGAGATGCAGCTCATGAGTTCATGGCCACCATGACAATCATGGGCTTGTTCCTGGAACTCATGGGCCCAACATGCATTGTTTTTTGTCTCAGAGCAACTGAGACTTGATCTGATGTTGGGGGACAACTCCATCAACCCCTTTCGTCAGCTCACTTGGCGGTACAATGGAATTCGTTGGTGCCATGGATCTGTGCAGGGAAGAGGGATATCTTTGATTGGGTCATCTCAGATGCCTGATGGTCCCTATTGGTTTCCAAAGGGCACTTGCTGGCCTCTGGAATAAAGGGTTAATTGTGGCACCTGTCAGGATTCTTGCCAAGTGGCTTTCTTTGACCATTGATCCAAGGGATTTCCTTGGTTTACCAAGGAGCTCCAAGGATATGAAACAGCTTAAGAAGTGTTCTTAGAAGAACACTGGTATAAAATGAAAAGTGAATGTGACCAAACACAAGTAAGAGCTCAAGTTTGAGCTTATGGCATGGCAGTAGGAACAGCAAAACATGCTTATTCTTCTGCTTTTATTACATCCACACATAGCTGCCTAGTAGCATCATTTAAAGTGACTTGTCCCTGTTAGAAAAACTGAGCTGGAAGATCAACTGCTGAGCCTTTGCAATAAATCACTTACATCCTTTCATAGGTAGATGCCAGCTGGGCAGATCCAGCTGAGATGATAGAGACCTTATCTTGGGAGTTGATCTGGGACAGGTTTGGACCTGTGGATCCTGAGGTAGTTGATAGGATTCTCTGTGTTGCTAACTTTGCATTGGACCCTGTACTACCTAGTTAATGAAAGCTACCAAGAAGGTAATGGGAGGCTTGGTGCAGATTGCAGAAAATACGTTCTTGAGTGAGGGGTGTTGCCTCCTGCCTTGAAAGAGACAGTGATATGCCCTCTCTTCAAAAAGCCTTTTTTTGGTTCAGCTGTTCTAGATAACTATCAACCAGTTTGCAACATTAGAGAGCCAGCTTGGTGTAGTGGTTAAGGCACCAGGCTAGAAACCGGGAGACTGTGAGTTCTAGTCCTGCCTTAGATACAAAGCCAACTGGGTGACCTTGAGCCAGTCATTCTCTCTCAGCCCTAGGAAGGAGGCAATGGCAAACCACTTCTGAAATTTGCCAAGAAAACTGTAGGGAGTTTTGTCCAGGCAGTTGCCAAGAGCTGTCATTGTGTATGTGTGCCTTTGAGTCAATCTCCAACATTCCTTTTTTAGGGAAGGTGGTTGAGAAAATGGTTGGACTGCAGCTACAGGGAATCCTGGATGAAGGATTGCCTAGATCATTTCCAGTCAGGATTGAGGCCTGGGTGTGGGGCTGAAACCTTATTGGTTGTTCTGGTTGATGGCGGGGCGTGGTGGGGGAATGTGACTCTCCTGGTCCTGCTTTATCTCTCAGCAGCTTTTCATGTAATTGGTTAGGGTATCCTGGACCAGTTTCAAGAGGTTGTGAATGAGAGGCACTGCTTTGCAGTGGTTCTCTTTTTTCCTGAGCAGTCAGTTTCAGTCAACCAGTGGTTATAGGCAGGGAGAAGTCAAGCCTGCTGGAGTAGGTTATACCATCAGCATGAGGTGAAATATTATCAGTGTGCAGATGGTACCCAGTCGTATATCTCTACCCCTGATTGAGCAGGAATTGTGCCAGAAGACCTGGAGGCTGTAAGGAGCTGGACAAAAGGAATCCCAGCAAGATGCAGAGTCTGTGGATTTTTAAGCCAGCTTTTTTTTTTATTGCCTCTTGATAGAATTGTACTCCCCCAGTCCAAGCTAGTAGCAGCCATTTCTTGTCACCTCATGGCTGGACTATTGTAATTCACTGTACATGGGGCTACCCTTAACCATTCAGAAGCTTCAGCTGGTTCCGTACATATGTACCTCTATGTAACATTCATACTACAGAGCTACGTTGGCCAGTCAGCATCTGCATGTAATTCAAGGTACTGGTTATCACCTTTAAAGCCCTATGTAGCTCAGAGCCTGGATATCTCCAAGACACCCTTCTCTGAATTGAATTCCATCTAGTAAGATCTAGATAAGACTTTCAGAGGGGTCCTAAACTTGAGGGAATACCAACTACAGGGACCCTGTGTTTGAGCCTTCTCAAGGTTGGCTCCTGGTCTCTGGAGCCCACAGATATTCAGATCACCCTCTTCCTATTATATTTTTGAAGACCTCTGAAAACATAGTTGCTTGGAGAGTCATTTGGGGACTATCGGCCTCGTGGGGCAAACCAGATAGGAATCATGACCATGTGAGCTAGTACTTTATTGTAAAGCTACATTGACAGTATCTTGCAAGTCTGAAAGTACATTTCTCCCCCCATCTCCTTTAAAGCCCGAGAAACTAGGGAGGGTCTCTTCTTAGCCTCTTGCCAGGCCCACTATCTATCCAGCTGTGGGCTATGCTGTCTCTTATCTGATTGTTCCCTTGGCAGCATCTCTTTGCTCAGTCTCCCAAGGTCTTTCCCACATACCATTACAGGGAGCCTGCCCAAATGGTGACACATCAGGGCCATGTTATTTATTTTTGTTTGTTACAGGTAGTCCTTGCTTAACGACCTTAACTGGGATCAGAATTTCCATTGCTAAGCAATGCGGTCGTTAGGCAAAATATCACATGACAGCACTGCTTAATGATGGCAGTTTCTGTTGTCCCGGTTGCAGTTGTTAGGCCAGGACCTCACGCTACTCCTGCCCTGCCATGCTTGACTTTGCTTCACCCCCCCCCCCCCCCCCCCC